GGGGCGCGCGCCCCCCACCCTGCGCCCCCCCCGCGCGCGCCCGCCTGAGGCGATCCGCTTCGGGCCGCAGGCGCCCGCGCCCCGGGACCCCGCCTTTACACTCCCCCCTCACGGCCCTCCCGACGCCCGCCTTCGCGCCGCCGTCCCGCCCCCGCCGCTGGCTCCTGCGCTGCGCTGCCGTTCGCTCCGCCCCGTCCCCTCGGCTCCGCGCTCGGCTCTGTCCCCTCAGGGGTCTTCCTCCCCTCGCGGCCTTTTTTCCCTCCTGCGCACCCCCCGCAAGCCCCATTGCCCCAGTGAGCCACTGTGGGGCCGTTCGCCCCCCGCTGCCCAGCCTCCCTCCGCTGCTTTCCTGTGTTGGTAACATCCTTCAAGCGGTGAAGCCTCTCTCCCACCCCACGACATGTTCACCCCATATCGGCCTGCAGCACCTCGTACGCAGCCGCTTCGAGTTCCCAAATCGCTGACAGCCCTCTCCCTGCCCTGCAACACCCATCCCCGCACTCCCCCTGCCTCCTTCGTCCAGGTTACGCTGCTCCAGACCGCGCACCCTCCAGCAATTTGTGACCCGGCAGACTTTCTTCGCGCTGGCCCTCCGATCCTTCTGCACACCAGGTGTCTTACCTCGATTTCTACTTTTAAGCTGCTTTTTTTCTGTCAAACTAGTCCTTTTTCAGTTTCTCCGTTTGTGACTGATGTGCTTTCTCTTCTCTTGACTGCCCTACTATTGCTTAAATGTTTTTGTGATGTTTTTATTTTACAACGATCAGAAGTGTAAGGCCCAAAACAACCTATGTCAAATGTCACTGGTAAGTCCTCCTCCTCTGCATACATCTGTGTCAACTACTGTGTGCATCTACAGATCAGTATAAATGGTTTAGCATAACGGTTTAAGGCACGGACGTATCAATGTGCCTCTCTGACACTTCCCTGCCATGAAGTGTACGTTATAGATGGCGAAGTGCTTGGGTTGCTGGCAGAATCATGTTTTCCCCCCGGGTTTTATGGTTTGAATTACATCTCCCGTGAAACAGGGTGGTGGTCTTTTGTATCCCATCCCTTGCGAACAGGCCGAACCCATCTGAAGCCATCCCCAATCTGTCGATTTTCTGGGCGTGCCGCGGGGGCAGGCATACTTCTTTTGTTATTCTGTATGATTTAGCTTTGATCTGTCCTGTTTGCTGCCGAGTTGCTTTCAGCTGCAACCTCACATCCCGTTTTCTTTAAATTCCTGCGCCGCCCCCGTTTCTGGGAGACGCCGCAGGGAGCCTCGGGAAAAGCCTGCAGTGCCCTGGCGGTTACCGAGGCAGAAATCGGGCTGCGTGTGAGGAGGTGCCACGGTACTGCCCCGAGCCGCTCCGAGCGGGGAAATCTCCCTGTCCTCCCGCCATCCAGGGGTGCAACACCCCCCGGCCACCCCACTCGCGGTCCCCGTGGCCCCAACAGAGCCACCGCCCCCCCGTGTGAAACTACAAATCCCAGCATGCCCTGCGCCGGCGAGCGGCTGAGGCGGGAGGGCCGCGGTCGCCCCGGCGCTGCGCCGTTGCGTGGGATGCCGGGAGTTGTAGTGTCGAGGCGAGGACGGGTGCGTGATACGTGACGGAAGCGCGGCGGGGGGGCGG